TCTTTATTTACTGTCTTTTTTTTTTGAGACAGGGTCTCACTCCCATCACCCAGGCTGTAGTGCAGTGGCATGATCACAGACCACTGCAGTCTCTGCCTCCCTGGATTCAGGTAATCCTCCTGCCTCAGACTCCACAGTAGCTGGGATGACAGGTGCACCTCAGGTCACCACATCTGGCTAATTTTTGTACTTAGTAGAGATAGGGTTTCACCATATTGCCCAAGCTTGTCTCAAACTCCTGTCTAAAACAATCTGCTTGCCTTGGCCTCTTAAAAAGCTGGGATTGCAGGTGTGAGCCACTGCCCCTGGTTTATTTACTGTCTTTGGTATAAGAATATACACTCTAAATCTTGCCTTTAGATCAAAGCAACCTTGATACTATCATACAAATTACAGGCTAAGACACATACAATATTTTTCCTATGAATTACAGGCTGTGACACATACAGCATTTTCCTTGTTCTGGAAGGTTGCCTTTAATTGTCCCTAGAAAGCTTGCACCCCCTTTCCCTGTGGTATATGAGCACTGAGCCTGGGAAGTTATGCTTCAGAGATCTGCCTGTCTTGCTGCCATCTAGACCACATTTCTGTGTGTAAGTTCTCTATTAAATTACCCTTTATTAACAAACTAGATTTGTTTGCCTCGCTCTTTCACTTCTCAACTACTCCTTCATTTGCCAGTTGCTTTGCATATATGGCCCTTTCATGAAATAGATACAGTAGTTTGAAAGTAAAAAATTGGGAAAAGATATGTCACACAAACAGCAACCACAAGAATACTGAAGTACCTGTTCTAATGACAGACATGCTCGACATTAAAGAAAAAAAATGTTACTAGAGGAAAGGAGGAACATTTTGTAAAGACAAAGTGATTAGTCTTTCAGAAAGATGTCATAGTTGTAGACACCCATACAAATAAAAACAGTGTCCCAAAATGCATGAAGCAAAATCTGGAAGAAGTGAAGGGAGAAACAGATGATTGAACAGCAGTAGTTGGAGCCTTCAATGCAGCACTTTTAGTAATGAACAGAAAACTTAGAAGATAAGCAAGAAAGTAGAACATTTAAAAAATATTCTAAATTCACTAGACCATACTAACTTCTGTAGAATGAATGCTTCACCTAATGTCAGCAAAATACACATTCTTCTTGAGTAGACAAGAAATATTCTCTAGGAAAAACCATGTGGTAGGAATGAACACTTTAAAATGATATCAAGAAAACATTTTCATTACAATAATATCAAAATGAATAACAGTTTAAGAAGATTTTTAAAGAAAAGTGCAAATCTTGTGCACTAGAAATTATAAAGCATTATTGAATGAAAGAGAAGAATGAAAAAGAATAATGAAAGAGAAGACCTAAAATAAATAGTGTTCATGGATAAGAGATTGCGTCAGTCCCCATCAAAGTTCCAGCTGCCTCTTGCAGAAACTGTCAGGTTGATCCTAATATTCGTACGGAATGTCAGAACAGCCAAAACAATATTGGTCAAGAATAGACAAACATTTTGGATAAAAAACACAAGTTCTTATGGTTACAGTTTCATATGTTAAAACTTATTACAAAGCTAAAGTAATAAAAGATTATGTAGAGTTGTCATATTGAAAAACATACATTATCAGTGGCATAGAATGCAGACTCTAGAAATAAAGTTTTACCCTTGTAGATAGTTGTTTGTTGCCAAGTGTATTACAGAAATTCAAGAGAGAAGAATACTCTTCAGCAACTAGTGTTGGAACAACTAGATAGCTATATGCTAAGGAATGCATCTGGTTCTATTTCTCACACTGTATATAGAGATTGATTCAAATGGAATATAGATTTATATTTAAGAGATAAAACTATCAAACACTTGGAAGAAAACATTCAGTAACTCTATACATTTAAGCCAGAACTCCTATAGATACCACATAATTGGATCTAGATTTTGCTACTGTGGTGGTTGTTTTAATGGGACAACGTGTTTTTTAAATTGGATTGTTTTATCAAATCACATTTAATGGTATTATTGATATGGATGGCATTGTGGTCTGAACTGGGCCTTCACAAAATTAATTTGTTAAACTCCTTAGACTCAGAACTTCAGAATTTGACTATATCTGTTGATGTAGTCTTCAAGGAGGTAACTAAGTAGACCTGGATATTTTAACTATTTATTGGTTGATCATGTATTCAAGGAGGGCCACGTAATAACTGTTGCTGGATTCCAAGTCTCTAGGTCATTCCACTATGCATTCAGCACTCTAGATCTGAAAATTTTTCTTAAATTGCCATTTCCATCATGGCTTCCGTTTGCATATAGAGCAAAGATGCGACATCCTCAGACCATAGCTATGTAAAAATCTCATGAATATCAAATACTGGAGCCATCTGTAGACCAACAACAATCACATGTAACTTGAACTGGGTTTACATGAATATAAGCATACTTCATTCTATTGTGCCTGATAGATACTGCGTTTTTTTTTTTTTTTAATAGACAGTTTGTGGCAACTCTACATTGAACAAGTCTATCAGTGCTGTTTTCCAATATCGTGTGCTCACTTCAAGTCTTTGGGTTACATTTTGGTAATTTTGCAATATTTACAACTTTTTTATTATTATATCTGTTGTGGTGATATGTGATCAGTGATCTTTGATGTTACTTTTATCATTATTTTGGGATTCGATGAAACATATAAAATTATAATTAATAAATGAGTTTGTTCTGACTACTCATTGGCCACTTCCCCAGCTATCTCCCTTTTCTCAGGCCTCCCTATTCCCAGAGGCACAATAATATTGAAATTAGGCCAATTAATAACCTTTTCATGAAAGGAAGAATTGCATGCCTTTTGAGTTAAATTAAGAAATAGAAATGATTAAGCTTAGTGAGAAAGGCATGTCCAAAGCTAAGATGGGCTAAAATTGAGGCCCCTTGTGCCAAAAAGACAAATTGTGAAAAGAAAAAGTTCTTGAGGAATGTTAAAAGTGTTACTCCAGTGAACACAACACAAATTATTTAAAAAGCACATTCTTTTTTTTTTTTTTTTTTTTTTAATTTTTTATTGGATTATAGGTTTTGGGGTACATGAGCAGAGCATGCAAGACAGTTGTGTAGGTACACACATGGCAGTGTGCTTTGCTTTTCTTCTCCCCTTCACCCACATTTGGCATTTCTCCCCAGGCTATCCCTCCCCACCTCCCCCTCCCACTGGCCCTCCCCTTTTCCCCCCAATAGACCCCAGTGTTTAGTACTCCCCTTTCTGTGTCCATGTGTTCTCATTTTTCATCACCCACCTATGAGTGAGAATATGCGGTGTTTCATTTTCTGTTCTTGTGTCAGTTTGCTGAGGATGATGTTTTCCAGATTCAGCACATTCTTATTGCTGACTTTGAGAAAGTCGGCAACATTCTATGAAGGCTGAGAGAGTTGAGGAAACTGCCTAAGAAAAGTCTGAAGCTAGCAGAGGTTGATTTATGAGGTTTCAGGAAAGAAGCCATCTGCATAACATAAAAGTTCAAGATAAGGCAGCAAGTGTTGATGAAGCTATAAAGTTATCTGGAAGATCTAGCTCAGATAATAAAGGTAATGACACTAAAACCTGGATGACAGCATCTGTTTATAGCATTGTTTGTTGAATATTTTAATCCTATTTGTTGAGACCTACATATCATAAAAAAGATTTTTCAAAAATATTACTGCTCATTGATGATGCACCTTGTCACCTAGGCATACAGATATATGCAAGATTTATGATTTTTTTCATGCCTGCTTCTAACACAAAATCTGTTTTGTAGCCTAGGGATAAAAAAGTAATTTCACTTTTTAATTCTTGTTATTTAACAAATAAATATCACAAAACTATAGCTGCCATAATAGTGATTCCTCTGATGGATCAGGGCAAAGTAAATTGAAACCCATCTGGAAAGAAGGGTACACCATTTTAGATGCCATTAAGAATGTGTTTTTGATTTAAGGGAGGAGGTCAATATATTATTATTCACAGGAGTTTGGAAGAAGTTGATTCCAACTTTCAAGGATAACTTTGAAAGGATCAAGACTTTGGTGGAGAAAGTAACTGCAAATGCAGTACAAATAGCAAGAGAACTCAAATTAGAAATGCAGCGTGAAGAGGTTACTGAATTGCTGCAATCTAATGATAAAAGTTGAAAGGATGAGGAGTTGTTTCTTATAGATCAGCAAAGAAAGTGGTGTCCTGATATGGAATCTACTCTTGACAAAGGTGCTGTGAACCTTGTTAAAATGACAACATAGGGTTTAGAACAACACATAAACTTAGTTGATAAATAAGCAGCAGGGTTTGGAAAGGGTGACTACAATTTTAAAAGAAGTTCTACTGTGGGAGTAATGCTGTCAAACAATATTACATAGTATAGAGAAATCACTCATGAAAGGAAGAATCAAATCAATGTGGCCAACTTCATTGTAGTCTTATTTTAAGAAACTGCCACTTCTACCCTAACCTTCAGCAACCACTGCCCTGATCAGGCAGCAGCCATCAACACTGAGGCAAGACCATTCACCAGCAAAAGAATATTGCTTGCTGAAGGCTCAGATGATTGTTAGCATTTTTTTTTAGCAATAAAGTACTATTTTATTAAATAAGTATATTTCATTTGTAGACATAATGTTATTGCTCATATAATAGGCTACAGTATAGTATAAACAAAACATTTATATACATTGGGAAGCAAAATATAAGAAAAAAACCTGTGTAACTTGCTTTTCTGTGATATTAGACTTATTTAAGAGGACTGGAACTGAATGCAAAATATCTTTGAGATATGCCAGCATGTGGGATTTGGTAACTCTCCCTCTTGTCAACTTTGTCATAAGCAAGGCCAAGTATGTTCTTAAATACTGACTTCTAATATGCATGATACGTGGATAGAGTTTTTAAAAGTGGATAGGCCAGAGCAAGCTTTGTTGTAATCACTCCCATCTCAACCACCCAGGCATCAGCTGTGGGAACAGCAGACACAATAAGATAGCACTATGATGAAAACGTGTTTATTTTCATTAGTAGGGTTCCAAAGACTTGGGTGAGTAAAAGTACTAACATTAACAAGGCAAACTCAGCAGAGAAGAGTGTGTCCAGGTTGAGTTGGAGAGATGGTCTGGTTTAATTTTTGACTCTGTCGTAATGGCTGGATCAGTTCTAGACATTTTCCAGCTGCCTCTAGTTTTTGAACTTGCAGACAAAGGAGAACTTGTCTTCACAAGGCACATCCTTCCATCTCTTGAATCCTATAAGTCAATGAGAAGAGTTTGAGATCAGAGACCAGAAAGATTGTGACCCTCCTGGCTTTAGGACTCAGGACAAAAAACAAACATCCATTTCCTGGATGAAGAGCTACCTTTCCTCTATCCCAGTACCAGTCCCATCCTTAGAGCTAAGCAGGAGAGAACAGAAACAGGTGGATGGATTCTCTGCCTCTTACCTGAGCTTGAGGTCAGGCTCACACAGTAGCCAGGATTAGTGTTGCTTGGGGCACCAATGTCCCAGGATTTGTAGGAGACCAGGGACCCACTGCTCCAGTGCCAGCGGCGGTTCTAGTTGGGCAAGATCCAGAACAGAGGCAGTGGTCACTCAAAAATCAGTAGAATCACTGGGCCTGTGTGTACACTCAGAAACGTGCCCAAACACATGAGAAGAATAAACCTTGTTGTCTTGCTGAATATTGTTTCCTTTCCTCTACTTTTGCTCTCAACTTCTTCTTTCCTGAACTGTCCAAATCACTACCCCTGTTTCACCGAGAAATAAATGTTTCTAATTTGACATAGAGATCCACAGTAGCTCACTTAAAAAGTGGTTCTTGAATTTTTGTCTTTGAGGCCCACGACCCTCATATCCAGCATAGCATTGGCTGGCCATTAGTTGTTGTTATGCTATTTAGTATAATACCAGGTTCCCAAATGCCAGCAGTAGATTCTTTACCATGAGTGAACACTATATAGTCAGCAATCTAGTCTCTCTTATTGTGCTGACAATAACAAAATAGGTAAGAAGTTGGTGCATAAGGATGTTCTGTTGACTGTAGACAGAATGAGTTTATTCATGGATGCCCAGGACACCTAGAAAATTCAGCCTTCCACTTGTATCTCCAAACATCTGCAGTGCACCTTGCTACACAGAACATTATAGGATCTGTAAGCAGACTGATTTCTGGAAAATGATAAAAACTGGTACTTAAGAGACCAGAGCTTGAACCTCATTCTTACTTCTCAAACCTGATCATTCTGGGATAAAGAAGGCTGCAGCCTACCTTTTTGGGGTCATGGAGGCCAATCCAGACATTGAAGTCATCAGTGCCACTCTCCTTAATCAGTGAGGCTACAAAGGTGCCCTCAGACTGGGTGAGCACAGACACCAAGTTGCCCGAATTCATGTTCTGGCAGTAGAGCTGTTGGGGAAGAAAATGGAGCACTCAGTGGAGGAGGAATATGTGAGGATATACTGAGTCCTTTAAGATGATATGTCAGAAAAAGGACACACAGTAATGTCCCTGATGATGCTGTCATCAACCACCAGCATCTTTGTGCTGGGAATGTGCTGAATAATGGGATAAAGTAGATTAGAAAGTTTGGGGCTGATGATCGGGTAGCGAGGGGTTCAGTTTTATCTCATTGCAGCCACTGAACACACGAAAGAGTGGCAGCTTCCCCTCCCTTCATGAGCCTCCCTTCCCACGCTGCCCTCCTGACTCACATCTGCATCAATCCAGGTCTCACGGTCTTCATTAAAGTAGTAGCAGTAGGAGCGATAGGCATTGGTGCCTTCTGGGCAGCTGATCCGGGCCTGGGGCAACCCTGTCTGGGCCTCTTGGCCTGAAAAAGAAGAGATGATTAAAAGAGGGTCTCAGGGTAAGGTAAAGGCTGGAAGGTGAGGTGGAAGATTCTGAGGTTTCTCTTTTTATTTAAATTGCATTTTAGGCTTCAGGGTACATGTGAAGAACATGCAAGATTGTTGCATATGTACACACATGGCAGTGTTATGTGCTGTCTTCCTTCCCATCACCTATAATTGGTATTTCTCCCCATGCTATCTCTCCCCAACTCCCCACTCCCTGCTGTCCCTCCACTATTTCCCCCCTATAGACCCCAGTGTGTGATGCTCCTATATACAGGAACAGAATATAGTCTATTATGGGATGACTGCTCACTTTTGTTCCTGTATCCTATATCTTCTCTCTTTGGTTTCTTTGATCAGGGTAAAAACACAGAATGGATAGGCTAAAGAAACATGTCTCCAGTTTCCCTTTTATGTCTGGGACTCAGGATCTTCTGCCTTGAAGGACTCAGGCTTCTACTTTTCTCACACAAGCCTCTCCTTGGTTTCCCTGAACACAAGGCTCTCCTCAGTTCTCCACCCCATTAGTGGCTCTCTACACACTGACATCCCCAAATCCACCATCATGTATAAATTTAATCAGATAAACTCAGCCAACTGTGGCAGTGGCTTATAAGGGGTTATTTTAAATTCTAGCTCAAAATCCTAAATGGGATGTGGATGTGGATAAATGTGATGAGATCAACAATAAAGATCACTAAACACCACAAAGCAATTCTTAGTGGTGATTCTGCGCTCGCTCGCTCTCTCTCTCTCTCTCTCTCTCTCTCTCTCTTTCTCTCTCTCTCTCTCTCCTCTCTCTCTCTCAGACCTATGTGCTTGGGGATAGAGTGAAGGCTTCAGGGCTAGACAGGGTTGGTTGGTAGAAAAGAGATCTTACCTTGGCTCAGAGACAGGAACATCAGGCAGGAGATCAGCATGAAGTATGAGCTGGTCTGAGCCATGCTGCGCTGCAATGAATTTCTTGCTTAAGAGGCAAATCAACAATCTCACGAGATGGCAACCACTTGGAGCCTGTTTGGGGAGACCACCCTTTACCTGCAACTTTTGTTTTTAATAATAAAAAAAAAGATGTCAAAAAAAAAAAAAAAGCTTCTTCTCCAATAAAACACAAAATGGCAGATGACTCCGGTGCAGCGGCGGGGGGCGGGGTGGGGGGGGTGCGGAGTCCCTGGGGGCCCCGGGATGGGGAACCGCGGTGGCTTCCGCGGAGGTTTCGGCAGTGGCATCCGGGGCCGGGGTCGCAGCCGTGGACGGGACCGGGGCCAAGGCCGCGGAGCTCGCGGAGGCAAAGCAGAGGATAAGGAATGGATGTCTGTCACCAAGTTGGGCCGCCTGGTCAACAGAGAAGAAGGTTCTGAGAGGTGGAGAGCAAAGCATCTATTACCTTCCTTAAAACCTCCTCTCAGAATTTCTGAGACCAGGAAAGTCCTCTGAGACATCCAGAGCTTCAGATGTTTCTTTTGAGAGTTTGGGAATTATACAGACTTAGTAATCGAAAAACAACCCTGGATCCCACTGAGGCTTCATTACTGCTAAAATCTCCTGGACAGAAACTCATGCTGTATTTTCCCCAAGATTTTAGAGTGCATGTCAGAGGTGCCTTCTTCCTGTAATGCCCACTTACCTGTTGGCTGAATCTGAGGTGGCTTCTCAGGCCAAGTAGCTGTAGGAGCTTTATATTAGGATCAGAAAGATAAGAACCACATGATTCAAACAAAAGGGGTGGAGGCAAGGATTGAGTTTCGGGGCCTAGACCGGGCATTGACGGCATTGATTCTGGCACCAGTAGAAGCCTCTTCCTGGCACACACTGGGAGTGGTCACAAGTCAGGTCCCCTTCCAGCAAATAATTTGGCAAGCTATCTAAGTCCAAGATGGACTTTGCTTTTGCTCAGCAGAAAACAAATGAGGGTTCACATGTCCTCTAGCAACCCAGAGGGGAGCAGAGAAGAGTAGATTTCCTTCTACTCCCTGTAAATTTGGAGGCTCCTCTTTGGTGTCAGTCATGGCGAAAAGTTGGGAAGGAATTTACTGATTCCAAATAATTTAAAACAATGTGCTGTGGCATTAAGTGGTTCCTCCATGTCTTTTTCGGCTCACAAACTTCTCAAGATGTACCTTAAGAAGTAGGTTAAATTTATATTTCTAAATATTTAACATGTCCAGAAAGGTTTGAGCTAACAAAATACAGATATTGTCAATGTGAGAATTGTAGAGAGCTGCTGCCTAAGGAAACTTAAAGAAGCTAGCCATGTGAAGTCAACTGTTTGTTAGTATGAAGTCAATGACGGTGTGATGAAATTGAATACTTACCGGAATCATCATAGAATAGTCATTTACAATTCAGGGAATAAATGCCAATCGGAATGCAAAATTAGGAAGAAAAAACTAACCTGAATGCTCACAGAAAGAGAGATGAGTATATGAATTGGGACAAATGGATTAACAAAATATAATAAGCTACTAAACAGAATTTAAATTGAATAAGGTATTTCAACTTGGACTAGTAGCAAAACCATAGCATTGAATATAAAATTCAGTTGCAGGAAGTTACAAGCTTTTTCATTAACTTTATGTATGGTTTTAAAAGACAGATTAATACTAAATTTTGTTTATTAATCAATGCTCATATAGTTTAAAAAATAAAAATCTGACATATAAGAATATGTATTACAATTTTTCATAGTATTTGCCTAACAATTTCTAAGTTTTTTTTTTCTCTGTATAAAAACGAATGGGGGGCCTGTTGTGATGGCTCAAGCCTGTAATCCTAGCACTTTGGAAGGCTGAGGTAAGAAGATCACTTAAGCCCAGGGATTTAAGGCCAGCCTGGGCAACATAGGGAGACCCCATCTCTCTCTCTCTCTCTCTCTCTCTCTCGCGCGCGCGCGTGCCATATATATATATATATATATATATATATATATATATACATCTCCAGGTATACATATGCATATGCCTGTAGTCTCCGCTACTTAGGACGCTGAGGTGGGGTATTGTTTGAGCTCGGGATGTTGAGGTTGCAGTGACTTGTGGTTGTGCCACTGCATTGCAGCCTGGGTGATAGAACAGGAAACTGTCTCAAAAAGACAAAAACGAAAACCAATGATATTAAACAAAGATGGCAAATGTTAGCATTGTTTATTTTCACTGTCTGATTCATATGTGTTTTTTAAAATTAATCCAATTTATTTCTGCTTTTACAGAAAGTAGTTATGCCTTTTAAAATGATTACAACCAGAGAATGATTTCTATTTTTCTGTAAATATTACCAAAGGATATAAGGTAAGAGTCCAGTATACTTGATACCATGACATATTTATCTTGTGAAAATTAAACAAGCAATTATTTTTTTTTAATTTAAGACAAAAATGCTTCATGGCATCAGATTTTCTTTTCTTTTTTAACTTTTATTTTAAGTGATACAAATCCAAGTTTATTACATAGAGAAACTTGTATCATGGGGGTTTGCTGTACAGATCATTTCATCACCCAGGTACTAAGCCTAGTACTCATTAGTTATGTTTACTTACCCCCGTCCTCCTCCCACATTCCACCCTCCAAAAGACCTCAGTGTGTGTTGCTCCCCTTTATTTGTTCCATTGTGCTCATTACTTAGCTCTCACTTATAAGTGAGAATATACAGTATTTGATTTTCTGTTCCTGTGTTCGTTTGCTAAGAGTAATGGCCTCCAGCACCATTCATGTCCCTCCAAAGGACATTATCTCATTCTTTTGTATTCAACACTGAATACTTAGAAACACCTACTCTATCAAGACCCCAGTTATTTAATGTATTTACTTGAGTATATAGTTTTCAGAGAAGTTGTAAGTTCCTTAAATCCAAAACAGATGCTGTTTTCCTGTGGATCCCTCCTATTATAACGAGAGCTTTGATTGTGAACTAAGCAGAGGGCAAGGGTACAAGCTCAGAGGCCCTACGGATAGCTCTGACACAAAATTCTGGTATTGGGTTGGGGGGCCTTCTTCCTGGCACACCCTGGGAGTGGTTACAGATAAGGTCCTCTTTCACAAACAGCTTGTCAAACTGGGCATATCAAAGCAGCAAACAGGTGCCCAGTTCCCATGGCCCTCAGCAGCCCATGAAGAAGCAGGGACCTTCCAGGAATGGTGATAATGGGTGTGAAGGAGGAGCCTGGGGAGGAAGGGCAGGGAGTGTGTGAACTTGGAGCAGGCCTATCTGTGGGACAAGTGACAAGGGAGGCAGCAGGACAAGATGTGGAGCATCCTGCTTGGGGCAGTGGGGAAAGAAGGGACATAGTTCATGGCATGCTAACATCATTTACCATGGAGGCTCCTCTCCTGACCAGGCATGTCCCGAAAGAAACCTGAGGAAAGAGAAACTCCCATGGAAGAAGATCAAGGGTTCTGGGGACTGCACCTTACATCTCACTGCCAAGAAGTAATACATCAACTCTAATGCCTCTTTAGAACTGTTACTAGATACACTGAGGAGAAAGAGGAGGAAGAGAGTGATGATAGTGATGATGCATTCAACAAGGCACCCTTAACACTGTTGACTTTCTGCTAAGCACATAACAGTGATAATTAAAGCTTAAACTGTAATTCTCTGTAATCCCAGCGCTTTGGGAGGCCGAGGCAGGTGGATCACGAGGTCAAGAGATTGAGACCATCCTGGTCAACATGGTGAAACCCCATCTCTACTAAAAATACAAAAAATCAGCTGGGCATGGTGGTGCATGCCTGTAATCCCAGCTACTCAGGAGGCTGAGGCAGGAGAATTGCATGAACCCAGGAGGCAGAGGTTGCAGTGAGCCGAGATCGTGCCATTGCACTCTAGCCTGGGTAACAAGAGCGAAACTCCATCTCAAAAAAAAAAAAAAAACCTATAATTCTCTATGTACCTTCAAATATACCCTTTCATATAATAGTTTAGAATATTTATGTTATATTATTCCATTTGCAAAAACATATATATTACAATTTTTATGCTCTGAGAAATATTTTTACATGTGTTAAATATGTTAACTTTTTAAAAATGTCTCTACATAATGGGAGGCTGAGGTGGGTGTATCACAAGATTAAGAGATCAAGACCAGCCTGGCCAACATGGTGAAAACTTAATCTCTACTCAAAATACAAAAATTAGCTGGGCATGGTGGTGCACACCTGTAGTTCCAGCTGCTAGGGAGGCAACAGGAGAATCGCTTGAACCTGGGGCAGAGGTTGCAATGAGCCAAGATCACGCCACTGCACTCGAGCCTGGCGACAGAGCGAGACTCTGTCTCAAGGAAAAAAAAATCCCTACATAGAAGAGAGATACCTTAGTCAGAAAAAAAGCTTATCCACAGAAAGTTGGAATAACTTGCCCAAGGTCACACATTAGCCACAACATGAGGCATAGCCAGAATTCAGACCCAATGTACCTGACACCAAGGTCTGTGCTCTTTATTTCTCTGTTCTATTGCCCATTCTGCAGAAGTTCTAAAATTCTGACACAACTGGTAAGAATGAAAAGTTTTTGGTAGATGGGATCACATATTGTTCCACTCCCTCTCATAAGGAGGCAGGTATTCAGATAATTTTATTGTCTAGTTTAGACACTAAAATTGGATCCCTCCTCTCTAAAGAGAACCACTATCCAACAGTGATCAAACAAAATCCTGAAATTCCAGTCCACTTCCCAGTCTGCGCTTCCTTCCTGCACTTTGCCCCTCCTTTCCCTGCGGACTCCAGCAGCTATTTTACTTTGTGGCTATTTTACTTTGTGGTCATCCACAACCTCATCTCCACATGAAAGCTGGAGTTATACCGCATCCTCTGAGTGTCTATTGTCTCTCAGTTTCCTTAACCACCATCCCACTTCCTCCATTTATTACGCACTTCACAGAGAAACAGAGTCAAACTCAGTTTTGTGAATACCTTGTCTCTGCGTCCTAGTCTCTGGGCCAGTTAACTAATCAACTGAGGTTGCTGACGGGGTTTGACTTATTTTTGTGAGACTTCTAAGGAGGAATTGCTCTGTCAGGGACTGCTACCAACATTCTATTATAAGCCTATGGACTGGAGGGCAAAATTTGGTTTAGGGAAAGCTCCAAGAATTCTGATCCTCGACTTCGGAGTGAATTGTCTTTGGGAGGAGTATTGGATTCCTGAACCCTAAAACACGAAAAGCTAAACATAGAGCCATGGTCAGAGCCATCATCTGTCGAACAACATTGGACTTTTAAAACACACATTGAAATTAGCTTCAGGACTAGCACAAATATGAACTGCCCTAAAATCTGAGAGTTAAAGAATAGAAGTGGAGTTTGGAGCTCAGATTTTATTCCCTCTCATGTGAAAAGATTGTTTCTTCAGAGGAACAATGGCCTACCTCAAAGATGTAGTAAATCCACAAATCTAAACTGAACCCATAATAAATGTCTTGCTATGGAATTAGAAAAAATGTAGAAATAGAAGCCAAATAAACCTTAAAAAATACCAATATGTTAATTGAGATGACTATTAACCAGAATCCAGATAAATCAAAAAGGAAAACAAAAGAAAGTTATGTGTTTCCTCCAAAACTTTTGTTGAAATTTGATTGCTCTTGCAATACTACTAAGTCATGTTACCTTAAAGAATTAATTGTGCTATGAGGCCTCTGTTCTCATGGGGGGGATTAATGCCATTATAAAATGGCCCCCTTTATTTCCCTTTCCTTTTCTTG